TCCCCAGCCCCCTAGGGTCGGCTCCGGCCCTGCCCGCGGGCCCTTCCCGCCGTCGCTTGCTCGAAGGCCGCCTTTCTCCCCCTGTCCCCTTTCGAGGAAGGGGGCTCGAGTCGGCCTGTGCTTCGAGCCCCGGTCGTCCGCCGTCCCCCCGCACCTCTCCAGGTTTTTGGAGGGGGGTTCATTGCTTGGAAGGTGCTGGAATGGCTGCGGATACCTAAAACATAGAGATATTAAAAATAATTGAGGCAGAGACCTCCCTTGGCCATGCTGCGCAGTGCTCCGAGTGACTGCTGGGCCTCTTTGGGGTCTGATTTTAACGTGCTGAGGCCCCGGCTCTTAAGGCCGAGCCTACAAGGCAAATTTGGCAGCGGCTTTGCGGGGCCAAAAGCCTTTGAGGTTCTCGGAGACGTTGTCCCCTTTTGCGGGGTTTCCCCTCTCCGGGCTGAAGCTCTGCGCTGTGAAACGCGGGGTCGTTTATGCAGGTTGTTGGTGGGGAATGGCTTCCCGGACCCGACCGGCACGGCGGTGCTGTGAGAGCAAGCGTGCGGGTTTCAGCGTCCATCGGCGAGCTGTTGCTGTTTGGCTGGGCCGTCACCTGCGGGAAAGGGCGATTTCCCGACCTCTGGTTTTGTGGCCAAGCCAAAGTGAAACCGTTTGTCGATCGGGCACGGTGTTTTGGGGAATCGGGAGTGAAATCGGAAGGGAAAAATCCTTTCTCGCCCTCTCCTCGGCTTTAACATGCTACAGAGTGTCTCAGGAAGAGTTTGAATGACCGCATTCCTGTAATATTCCTTCCATTTGGGGGGGAATACAGGGTGTCTCCCACACACGGTCACTGTCCCTGCAGGGATTTATTGCTTTGGCACTGAGGAAGTAAACATTCTGTTGCCTTAAGCACTTTATAGCTGGCCCCAGTATCTGACCGAACAGGGCCGTGCTCAAGCTTTACTCGCTGTTTAAGCAAAAAAGATTGGGTGTGATTTACACCAGATAACTCTGACGTCAGGCTTACTTTTTAACGAGGACAAACATACATCGTGTGGTGGGTGCCCCTGCGGTTGTCTGACGGCTCTTTGCAGCTACAGCTCCTCTTTTTGGGAGCGTGAGGTTTTGCATTCACCTTTGTCCCTTTTTTTTAAAAAAAGAAAAATTTCCCTAGTAGCTGGATGTGCGGAATCTCCATCTGCTGCTGCCCAGAGCCTCGAAGCCCCGTCTCTCCCATTTGAAAATGGCATCCTGCGATGTAGGACAGCGCTGCCCTGATCTAGTAAATCCGACAAAATGAGCCCATTCCCTGCTGGGGTTTGGATCCGCATGCTGGCCAGGTGCTGTGCAGGGCTGGGGGGACAGTTTGCCTGCCTGGCAGGCACTGACATCCCCTTCTGCGTGCTCTGGAGAGCTTGCTGAAAAACTAGAAGCATCTTCACCCTCCCAGCCTTGTCACGCTGACAAATATCTCTTGGGCAGAGCACCAGGATTGTCTTGAGAATCCTGATGTAACTGGGGGTCTTTGCCTTTTATAAGGAGACTTTGTTCATGATGTTCAATAAGTTTGGTATAAAATAAGCTGATTTGGTCCCGTTAAAAATATCTCTGGCTCTTCTTTCTGTTACTTGTAACCGGTTAGTGAGAGATGATTAACTGCCATCAGAACTGCCATTCAGTAACCTGCTAGAAGTGGCAGCTACCTCCAAAACGTTGATGCAGGTTTCAGACAGGGCTAGAAACTTCCATCCTTTGTAGAGATATTGATAGTAAAATCCTTGAGGTTTCTCTCGGTGCATCTCCTAGGCACTGTCAGTGCTCCAAGGTCCCATGCCAGTGGCTGACTGCAGGACCAGCAATTTTTGGGGCAGTTACTCTGATGTTTAGACAACCACATTAAGTTCTGGGTGATTCTTTTTTGAGCTCTCTTGCCTTGATCTCATGTAGAGAGGCATCTTGTTTTGCTTCTTTAATCTGTGGGAACATAAAAAATGGAAGAGCATCCTTTCTTGCACAAACCTGTAATACCAATATCTTCCAGCAGCTCTGTCAGCTGGCACAGTGTGACAGCAGTTTTGTGTTTGCATTAAACGCTGTGTTTGAGAACAGCTTTAATCTTCACATCAGCGCAGTTTGGTCCAAAGGCAAAATTATTCTGCACTGGGGGATTTCCAGTCGTGAAAAATGGCATCAGGTATCCCTTACCACTGGTGCAAGCGATGGTAGGAAGGGCAACAAATGGGGATCTTCTCGCTGGTATCCTGCAGATCAATCTAATAATTGACTTGTGAGCACAAAGTGTGTGGCTGGACGTACTTATTAAATGAAACAGAATAGCTGGAGAAGTAAGAGGGCCATCAGGTGCTCAGGCTCGTCCTTAGCTCTGACACAGGAAGCAAGTTGAGAAGAATTGCTTGAGTTTAACGGGGGATCCCAACAACTCAGCCCTCCGAAAGGGAAGGCACTGGGGCCTTCGGAGCAGAGAGGAATGCGCCGTTACTTCCTTGGAGTAGGGACAGATGGGTATCGTGGCTTCAGGCTGTTCCGTGGCTGAATTAAGGCCCCGTTTGACAGCATAAAGAGTCAGGCTTGTGCTTGTTTCAAGACAGTCAACTGTCTTTTAGTCTGTAGCTTGCAGAAAATAACTGTAAAATATGAAGTTTGAGGGCAACTTCTCGTTCATCTCTTCTGCCTTTCTCCTGCTTACTCATCCTTCACGCTGCGTAGTCCAGGCTTGCAGAAGTTGGTGCTTTTGTCACCCTCTGTTTCACGGCTGCCGTTTTCCTTCCTGCCCTATCCAGGGCACGGAGGCGCATGTCCAAACACACTTCAGCTTTGTCGCAAATTCCCTGCTCTTTGTATATCTATTTTAGACATGCTTGCACAATAGCAAGCGAGTTAAGCTGAGCTGCCGTGCCTTGGCCATACTGCTTAATTAAGTAACTTTTTTTTTTTGTTTTTAAGCTATGCAATAAGATGAGAGGTCATTTCCCTTGGGAATCAAAATGCTCTGCAGCTGGAAGTGGTGGTGCTGCTCTCCCTGCCCTGCTCAGCCTACCCTTTCCATCGCAGTGCTGCGCTGGTGAGCCTCCGCTTCACTTAGGAGCTTGCTTTTTGAATGGAGGTGAGCAATGGGAAGAGAAGAACATGTGTTTTGCCTCCATGTTCTGGCTTTTCTCCTTATTCCCGAGCGCGTTCCTACCAGCCTGACCATTCAGGCTCTTCAGATGGTTATGCAGCCTTTGCTTTCTTCTTTCTGTACCTCTAAGGGAGTTTCTCTTCCTTGTGCAGTCGTCTTCTGCTGGACTTCAGTCAGTCTGGGACCTCGCCTAGACTGGATTAAAGGGTATCGAGCTAGCACACAATAGCTGTCTTGCGTTAACTGACTTGTTGCACGCTTCTGTCGACGGCCCGTGCACCTGCAAAACTCTGGAGGAGCAAGGAGTGAAATAAAACCCCTGCCTTGAGTCCTGGCAGTCCTTATTTCCAGCAGGGCGGTTCGGCTGGTGCTCCCCACTTTTTCCTTTTGTTTTTTTAACAGCCCTACCTGGCTGAGGAGTTGTACTTCATCAAAGTGGCACCCAAAACCTCCTCATCTGAGATCCCCTCGGCCCCGGGGTGATTCATAAACTAGCGCAACCTGTTGCGTAGGGAGTGCCTACTACGGAGGAGATGTGTGAAGTTACTCATTAACTGTTCTGTGCGCATTGTGCTCAGCAGAAGGCTGCGCTGGAACCCTGGGGAACAGCTGCAGCGGCTTGCAGACAAGCCCAGTGACTTCTCTGCAGCGTGCGGACTCGGTCGGCCTCTGCGCGCCTCGATTGCTTGCTCTTGCCTTGTCACAGCCTCAATTGCTTCTCACCCCATTAACCACAAAATTAAAATGACTGATCTTGAGACACGAGTTGCTGAGGGAGGGAGGGATAAAAAGCCATTTTTAAATTTATTATTTTTTTTCCCCCCATACCCAGCTATCAGGTTGCCAGGTTGTTCTTTCAGTAGGATTTCCAAGTTCAAAAAGGACCTCGTTTCTCTAATAGCTGGAGCAAGAAACATTCCAGAGGTCTACATCTGGCTATTGAAGAGGGCTTTTTTATGGAAAGTAGCATGCATAAAAGATGAAATAAAAATAGCTTTTTGTGAGGCTCGGCTGTGCTTTGATGGATCCTCCCTCACTTTGTGGTGCGGGTGAGGTTTGGGAGGTGGTCCTAGGTATCCAGCAACCTTCTCTGACCATGAGTGAATGAATCCATGTCCCGCTTCAGGTCTCTGGAAATTGGGAATAACTCGCTGTAGGTGAGGAGTAGGAATCTGCAGAAAGGCCCCTGTGCCAAAAGCTCATTGTAGTTCTCTCATATACGCCTTGGCTGAACAGGAGATTACTTCTGCCCACAAACCTTACCTTGCTGATAGTCATTGCCTTGGGTATTTAAATTCATTGCCAACTGAGGCCGTCCATCAGTGGTGGGGACTGTGTTTCACCCTGTCCATCCTGTTCCAAATTAACGGAGTGGATGGAAGGCAGGCAGCGTGGATCGCGTATATGGCCTGTGTCCGATGCTGATGTGTTCCTTGCTCTCTCTCCTTTCAGGATCCCTCGGTGACACAGCTCACAAACACTAGCCAAAGCGGCTTGGATGAATTCAACCCCTTTTCTGAGAGCTCCCAGCTGGTACGTGCCGCACGTCTCTGCGCTAGGCAGCTTGGTGGTGGTTTTAGCTGTGTAGAAGGTCCCTTTCTAGGTGCAGCTTAAAAGAAAAAGCTGATTTCCCCAGGGATAGTAGTTCATTGCCTGCATGGCAAGCTGCACACGAGCACTCCTGCACTGGAGCACTAAAACTCCCAGCTGGAGCTCTCGCATGGAACCGCTCCTCTCAAACTCGCTGCTGGCTGACAGTGAAGCTGTGTGAAGTGTGAAGGGGAAAATGCTTTGTGGCAGGAGGCATCAATATTTATTTGGTCTCTGGGTTGGGAGCTGAACTGCTGTGGCGATACTGTTGATGGATCGCTGCAAGAGCTTCATTCGTATTTCCTGGCCGCTGCCATGTGCGAGATGGGAAAGAGAACAGGAAACCAGGGTAAAGCAATATTTGCGGTTTAAACAACTGATCAAAATCCTGTTTTGTTTCTCCTTTGCCTAATGGCCGTAATCCTCAGGTGCCACTCCCTCAGTGTGTTAAGGAACTAACAAACTCTTGAAAATGCAGAGTTGCTTCCTGAGGATGCTTTCTCTTTTAGAGGTGCTAAAACTTGAACTATCCTTTGCTAAAAGAAGCCATTTGTAATGCTTTTTTTTGCCTTGTTGCTTGTGATTTATACGCAGACAAATGCAGCACGGACGACGCCAGCCACGCAGCCCTCTGGCCGCTCGCAGCCTGCTGTTCTGCAGACATCCGTGGAGCCCACTCCGCAGGTATGGCATCTCCTCGCTGCTGCCTTCCCAGGAGCTGGGCTGGAGAGCGGGAAGGAGCTCCTGTGGGCCTCTGGAGGCATGCGGGAAAAGGAGAGGAAGGGGGTTCTCTGGGGTTAGGTGTGGAAGCTGCAGGTGATCTTTTAAACTTGCACTTCCACCTACCTTGCGAAGCAGATCTCTGTAGAGGACACATACGCGTGTCCGATTCTTTTGCAAATTTTTTTTTTTTTTTCCCCTCTGCTTCTGGTGGCAGAACTCACTTTGCCTTGTATCCTGTTTGCTTTGGCTTCCCTCAGCAAACACCAAGGCGTATCCTGCTAACGCTTTTAGCTTAGCTCTGGTGACTGGTCAGACGCACTCAGTTCCAGGAGTGTAAATGCAGTCTGGCTATATGCTGCAGCCACTGCTTAGATCATCTAGCAAGTACCTGACAGCTAGGACCACCTCATCCAAAGAGCAGAGAAGCTGAGGAGAAAGAATCAGTTCTCAGAATAGCAAACAGAGATGCTTAAGAGGTGTGGTAGATGTCTGGCTTGCCTTTCCTTTGAACCTCTTCTACTAGCTGGGAAGGGAATTGTCCTGGTAAACACGGGATTCCTGCTCACTGCTCTGTTGCAAGGCACTTGGAGCAATGAGGCAAACTGGGAGGTAGAAGTGCGAGAAAAGCATAGCTTTGCTGAAAGGAAAGGGCGCAGAGGATGGGCAACAGACTGGATAGCCTCTCAAGGGCTCTTCCAGCCCTGTCTTCCTATGGGATAAGAGAGGAATGTCTGGGTGGAGTTCTACATTGATCTTGATTTTTGTCCTCCAGCAGGTAAGGCAGGAAGCCTCAAGATGTTTCAGATCAGCCACGGGTATTCAGTTTTCAAATTGTCCACAACCCTTGCTATTGAATTGCCTTTGCTTCCATTCCAGTTTGGCATCTGGTGTGTTTGCTGGTGGTATTGCCGCTGCCTCGGCTAGCGAAGAACTTACCTTTTTCTCCCCTTCCTTTAGGCTGTGGCTGCGGCAGCACAGGCTGGGCTTCTTCAGCAGCAGGCGGAATTAGAGAGGAAGGCAGCTGAGTTGGAGAAGAAGGAAAGGGAATTGCAGAGTAATGCAGCCAGCATTAATCGTGAGTAGTGCTTGTATGATGCTCAGGGAAGCCTGGATCACTTCGTTTGTCAGGATTTGATGAAGGCTCAGCCCGTCCGAGTGCATTCAGCTTTTTACAAGCCGCCTGTCTTTCCTCTAGTCCTGCACAGCTGTGCCAACCCTCTTGGGTCTGTACCTGTCATCCCATAACTTAGCAATGTGGGAAAGAGCTCAAGAGATGGGACGCTGGAGACCAGCTCTGGTGGGTCTCTGCCCCTGAGCATGCTCTCAGTGTCTGTTTGGCCACGTTAACTTCTTCAAACACCAGTTTCCTATCCGTGTCTGAGCTGTTGTGTGATGCTTCCGTGTTAAGGCTTTTCACTGAGAGTAATAAAGCTTTTTTTTTTTTTTCCCCCCCAGTCTCAAGGCTCTCTTAGCCACAGCAAAACAGTATTTTCCCCCAATCTTGGTTTTAAGTAGCTGAACCTGGACTTGTAGCACTGAGCGGCAGTGGTTGCCAGGGCCTTTGCAGGGGAATTCTGCCTCCCACGGAGGAAAACCCTCAAACTGGGCTGGTCTGCCAGCAGCACTAACACACCCCTGCTACACTGCCTGTTTAAATGTAGTTACTTACAGAGACCAAGCCTCTTCCAAGGTTTTCACATCAGTATGTATGAATGGCTCCTTGCAAATTGTGGTGTGCAAATTAGTCTTCTGATGAGAGAAGAGCAAGTGAAGGACTGTTCCCTTCTCCTTTCGGCAGCGAGGCAAAACAACTGGCCACCTCTTCCCAAGAGGTGTCCGATCAAGCCGTGTTTTTATCAGGATTTTTCTGCAGACATCCCAGCAGACTACCAGCGGATATGCAAGATGCTGTATTACTTGTGGATGCGTAAGTAATAGCTTGAACTGCAATAAAACCTTTTTCGAAAGAGATTCTGTATGAAATGCTGAGCTTTGACCTACAGTAAGTTCTGTAGGTGTTGTCTGCAAGGGTAAAATGATGTCTCCCTTCCTTTTTTGTGAAGGCAGATGTAAAGGACTCTGAGTTTATGCTTTGGGAATAGCTCATTCATGACAGAAGTTTGGTGGTGGTTGTTTAATGGAGACTTCAACAACTCTCCCCAGACTCTGAAAGAGAGCGGATAGTGCAGTTCAGAGAGTGGGTGCAAAACAGTCTCAACAGTGCATGTTGATTTTGGTGCTCTGAAAAGATTTAAGATGCAGTTGTAAGCATCAGGATCAGATGAGGTCCTTAGGTTAAGCTGTTTGCCTTTCAAGGGAGGCAAGGAAATTAGATGGCCCAAAGTCTCCTTAATTTCTGCAGAGCTCCATGTGTTCAGTGAGAGATTAGGGATGCTCTTGAGTTTTCCAGGAACCTACTGATGTGTTGTGGTTTGTTGTGTTTTTTGTTTTTTTTTTTTTTTTTTTTTTTTTTTTTTTTTTTTCTCTCTCCCATCCTGAACAGTGCATTCGATTACCCTGCTCTTAAACCTGCTTGCTTGCCTGGCATGGTTCACAGTCCAGACAGAAAGAGGAGTAGACTTTGGTCTCTCAATCCTGTGGTTTATTTTATTCACTCCTTGTGCCTTTCTCTGTTGGTACAGACCAATTTACAAGGCTTTCAGGCAAGTACTATTTTCTTCTATAATGGGGATACATCTTTTCATGGGAGGAGCTTTGGTTTTATCTGTTTTGATCGTATATTGCCTGCAGGATTTTTCCAGCTCTTTGCATCATTAAATAGATCAAACCCACTTGTTCCCTAAACACATGAGAAGTATCTAATGGAACTTAATTATGGCGGTCCTTCGTCTTGAAATCCAAGCCTAGCCCATCATAGGGTCCTACCTTTTTTAGTAATTTCTGAGAAACTGTTTGGTACCTTAATGTGTTGAGCACACTGCGTGCGTTAAGGACTCTGCCTTCACCCCACCTTGCACTGGGCGGAGCCATGATTTTGCGATGCATGGTGGACATGCACAACCGGCGTGGTTGAGACAAGAGATGCTGGTCAAACTAAGGAGGAAGAGGGAACTGCACAGGCAGTGGAAGCAGGGATAGGCATCCTGGGAAGAGTACAGGGATGCAGTCCAGTTGTGTAGGAATGGGGTCAGAAAGGCCAAGGCGCGGCTGGAGCTAAACTTGGCTAGGGATGCAAAGAATAATAAGAAGGGATT